AATTGAAGGACTTTTAAAAATACAACAAACTCTTTGATACTTTTTCTCCCTGTCTAACCAAATTAGTTCACTCAGACCATCTCCGCCTATTTTAGTTTTCAGCTAAAATACCAAGATGATAAAAATAAATTTCAATAAGAACTGATTGGATTGGTCCATTGTTGTTAAGTACTGTCAAGTCTGTTCTGACTCATAGGCATGACTGTATAGGAATTCTGAGAAGTTGGTGGGCTTGAACCAATGACTTTGTGGTTAGCAGTCCAGTTCTATCTTGCAGCATAAAACCAGGATTCTGAATTCGTTCATACAAACCTCTATATTGGGGAATGGGGTAGAAGAACGGAAAAGGAGCAAAATAAAATGATGTGTAACTGGAATTCAAGTTTATACAGCATTGACTTGCTGTCAAATTATTATAGGAAGATACTGATTGTATATATTATAATCATTTACAATATATATAATTAGTTTCTTCCTTATGATAATTTAAAAATATTGATTACATTATTAAAATCAGAATTCTCCAAATGATCAGAAATTTGGTTGACTAGCTCAAAAACTTACACATTAAAATATAAAACTATGAAACTACTTCTAAGGGTTATTTTTATTTTATATGTATAGCGTAGTGGTTACGAGTTGGGCTGCTAATCTCATGGTTGGCAGTTCGAAACTACCAGCTGTTCCACGAGAGAATGATGAGGTGTTCTGCTCCCTTAAAGATTTACAGCCTCGGAAACCCTGTACAGGGTCGCTATGAGTCGGAACCAGCTCCACGGCACATAACAACAACAACAAGTAGTTTTTATTAAGCTTCAAAAATCTTATTGTTCATAAATGTTGTTATTTTCTTTGAATACAAATTCCTCAATAATAAAGGACTTCAAAATAAGCTAATATGACTTTGTGATGCATTAGTTCATTTTCTTATATATTAAAGAACATCTTCAAAAGAACTACATTACTTAACATTTGTAAAATTGCTGACCTCCAAAAAGACCACTAGATGTCAGTTCTGATCTATAATTCAAAAGAAAATAAATCACGTCTTTGAAGTAATTCCATTGTATCATAATAAAAAGCAAATCAATAAGAAATATTTACTGTGCTTTCTTTCTTTCTGTTTTGAAGGTGCATGAGCATTTAAATTTTCAAAATGCTGATAATGTGGACTTTGAGGACCAAAATACAGAAGAATTCCTTTTAAGAGATACTTTCAATTTTCTCCTCTCTAACGAATCTTCATTTCCTATATTTTATGAGATATTTCAGAGATTTTACAGATTGGGTGTATTTAAAGTAAGTGTATATGTGTATATGACCATTTTATTTCAAGTCATTCAATAAAAGGTGCCACTTTCTTTATTATACAATTTAAGCAACTTGAAAATCATTTGAAATTAATTGCTAGTTATTATATTATATGTCTTAATATTTTGCTCGTCTGAAAATCAATATTATTTTTATGTCACCTCTGTCTGTGAAGTGGTCCTTAGATGGCACAAGCAGTTTGTGATCAGCTGACCTAGAAATTGATAGTTCAAAGCCACCTAAGAACTCCATAAAAGAAAGACTTAGTGGTGATCTGCTTCTATAAGTATTACAGCCAAGAAAATGCTATGAGACAATTCTACTCTAGGGCCACCATGAGTATGAGTTGAGTCGATGACAACAGATTGTGCTTGGTTTGTGGGTGTCTGATTATGATGAAATTATGACTTGACAATGAAGGAAACCAGTGCTTAATTCATAAGGACCTTTGGGGAATATCGTAAACAATATGTATTACATATGGTAGAGTGCTTTGAGAAGAAATGTTAGAACTTTTGAGAGACTGTCTAGACAACAGTGAGGGCTGCAGATTGCTATCAGGAACTTGAGTTATAAAACTAAACATTTTCAGTGTTCACATCATGATAATGTGTTTGAGTTAATGCCGATGGCCAGGATTTAGTGCTTTAGAAGAGTATTGGTTAATTTTGGGGTGCATGTTAGCACAAGTTTTCCTGATCTATTGAAAAATTTCTACAGGTTACCAAATATAATAGGATTCTTTTTTTCTGTTTTAAAAGTCATATTCCGAGATCAGAAGTGACACCTGAAAAACCTCATGAACAAACTGACGCGCTAGAGAGGTGTTTGTGAGAGCTGTAACACCACCTTTTAGACTGTTGTTACTCCCCAGTTCTGTTGGCTTGTTCTTCTAGTTCTCTGATTTCCTTCTCTGGCAAGCTGGCTGCCATTAAAACCATTAGAACCACTCTTCCTAGGAAAAATAAAACGGTAGAACATGCACCTTCTGTTCCCAGGAACGCCTTAGAACGAAATGGGTTTGGGGAAAAGTGAGGGATTGCTATTCACTAGAGCCCTGGGGTGGCACTGCGCATTCATGAGCTTTGCAAAGTGCAAAGTCACTTTGAACACAAGGTCGGCGGTTCAAGCTAACAAGCTGCTCCTTGGAAACCCTATACAGGGTCTCCATGGGTTGGAACCAATTTGACGGCACTTAACAACAACAATAGAGTCCTACTGTGGCGCTGCAGGATAATGCTCTGGGCCACAACGTTGGAGGTTCAAACCCACCAGCCACTCCTCAGAAACCCTATATAGGGTCGTTATGAATCAGAACCGACTCGGCGATACTTAACAACAACAACAGAACCTTAAAACTCTAAAGTGGTTAAAACCCATATATGAGGCTCACAGCCCATTTGTTGCTCTGACCTCTAGTGCCCTGGAGGCCAAAGGACTCCTGCCTCACAAACTGGCTGTCATGCCTGTGATGCCCCTTTATGGTCATCATCCTGCCCTCATTACCTAAGAAAGCAACACTGAACTAGTTCATGCAGGTCTTCTTTGTCAAATATAAAGCATTCTAGCTTTGGGGTATGGAAGGTGATGTGTTGAAGTCACCATGCATTATTTAGCATTTATTAACTCATCTGTTTATAGAGTCCAAACTCCGATACATTTATGAAGTAAGAAGCAAATCATAAATTCATAAACATGATTGAGCAATTGCTTAAGAGTTTGTTTGTTTGTTTTCTAATATAGGGTGAAAACTATCCAAAGGAGCTAAACCAATGCCTGTCTTTAGAGGATATTAACTCAATTATGACTTTTATAAAGGAACTTGGGAGTCTGGGACAATTCCAACTGGTAAAACAAGTGACATTTGATTCCTCTTCATTACTGAGATTATTGTAGATTAGCCATAAACTACTTGCTCCTGACTTCAAACTCCATGAGGGTATTAATTTAAAAAGAACTATGTCTAGTTATTTTTCCAGTTTTTGAAAATCTGAATATTAACATTAACAGAATCTATATGTGTTGCTTTAAGTGTTTACAAAGAACACCCCTCTTATTAAAGGTAGGAGAATATGACATTAGTATAGTTACCAGGATTTGATAGTTCTCAAAAAACCCCCCAACATTTTTCTAAAGAAGTTTTGCAGTTATCTTTGGAACATTAACTATATATGTAACCAACATTTATTTGTGCTTACAATACTCTTCATTTATACAAGATCAACTATAACTGAATATGGTGGTTATGTGCCATGGAGTTGGTTCCGACTCATAGTGACCCTGTACAGGGTTTCCGAGGCTGTAAATCTTTACAGGTTACCAACCCTGTCGGTATGAGCAGAAAGCCTCATCTTTCTCCCTCGGAACAGCTGGTAGTTTCGAACTGCTGACCTTAAGCTTCTCAGCCCAATTCGTAACCACTACGCTACCAGAGCTCCTTATAACTGAATATATCAAGAGTAATTTTAGAAAACAACTTAAAGTTTAATTTGCATAACTGCATAGCAACTTTAAAGTGAGTGATTATAATAAAACTTATCCAGCCTGTTCCAGAAAACAAAACAAAAAAATACAATGGCACTTATGTTGTCTTCCATGCATTTATTTTGGTTCATTTATTGGGCTCAGTATCTATCAATATCAAGGAACGTTGTTGTATATGAGTGTGCATGCTCAGAGCTTGCTTTCTTTCCACTTTTGCCTATTATGTAGATAACCTATAGTAGATTTGTATTTTCTACCCAAAGTTTGTTCATACAAAACTTTATAAAAGTTTTATTTAACTGATGTTTGTTTCAAACACTTTTCTTACTTTAAAAAAACTATGTCATTATTTGCTGCTTTTATGGATTGCAACCTATATACTAAGTTAATGAATATTTTATACCCATTTTTATAATTTAGTCCCATAATTTAGAGAGTTTAATGTAAGCATATTGCCCCAAAGATAATTTAATTTACCTATTATCATTGAATTAATACAAATTAAGCATTGCATTCAGCATAGTTTGCCTCAATACTGTACAAAGATCATCAAAGAGACTTGGTTTTACCCCATCAAGACTTCATAACTGAAGACATGTGAATACAGAGAATATCTCTCAGCATGTTACGTGGAAGAACTGAAGAATGACTTTGCAGAAAAATTGGGCAAACCCAAAGTTCCTGCTTCAGAGTAGAAAGAAGATAGCCACAGTTCTGTTTTGTTTGGTGAGGTTAATATTACTCCTCGTGACATAAGTCACTTGTATTCAAGAGGATTTCTTATCATTCTGACTCAAGTTTAGGCTCCAGTTCAGGTATTCAGCTTTTTTCAGGTGGAGTACCTGAGTTTTGAAAATAGTTAATATACTCTAATGCTAACCACGGTCAGCAGTTTGAAGCTACCAGCTGTTCTGTAGGGGAAAGATGAGGCTTTCTGCTCCCATAAAGATTTACAGCCTTGGAAACCCTGTACAGGGTCGCTATGAGTCAGAACCGACTCCATGGCACATAACAACAACAACAATGCTAACCAAAAGGTTAGTGGTTGGTATTCACACAGAAGTGTCTTAGAAGAAAGACGGTGTATCTGTCTCTGAAAAAATAAGGTATTGAAAACCCTATGGTACATAGTTCTTCTCTGGCACACATGGGTCATCCTAAATTGGCATCAACCAAATATAGCAGGAAGAATGAAGCCAATTACTATTTAATGGCAAGAAAATGAAAATTCACTTTATTTGGAAATATGATCATCAGTAAATTAAATGATGGTATAGACAAATGGATTTCTGATAAGTACGTTAGTTTTAAAAAAAAAAAATTGGACTAAATATCAAGCCTTCCTAGTAATGCTGTATCTTAATTTATTTTTCGTAACTGATTCTGATATTCTGTCTTTGACTATTCTTTTTCAGCTCTTCCCATCTACCGCTCCTGGGATTCAATCTTTGATGCATGACTTTTATTATATGGAAAATCCTATGGGGAAACCTGGCTCAGTTCTGACCCGATACTGGTCTCTTTTAAATGTATTTGAACAATTTCAGCTCATGAAAAAAAAGGCACAGCTACGTCCCCTGGAATGGTAAGAGAGCCACAAATTTGGGTTTTACAGTCCAAAAAGTCTCTAGTCTAAAGACTGATTCCCAAAAGCTTTGCCTACATTAAAGAAAGAAACAAAAAGGTATTTGCCCCAAAATTTATGCTCTGGAAATGAGCTCCTTTAAACATTGAAACCATAATGATTCTAGTGGTCTTCCAACACTGTAACAAAAATATATCCAACCATTGTTCAAACCAACTCCACCATAAAGTCAAGCTTGAAATGAAAAGTTTCATCCAATGAAATATATCCTTGACTTGCAAGAGCATCAGACAGATATAGGTGAGATTTGGTTTATGAACCATCAGTCAATCTAATTCAATATAGAGTTTGTGGGGCATGACTTTATTCTGGGTAAAATCTACCCAAGTGTATATATTTGTTCTGTCACTAGCGCAAGATTAGAATTTTTTTTATAAAGCAGCATCTCAAAGGAAAATGCTTGGCTGCAAGAACAGATTCCTGGCCTTCCACTCTTACTTCCAATGTAATGAACACTGTTAAAGTGCTTTCGATTGTGTGGATCATGACAAGCTATGGAC